GCTTTTACTCTGTTTTCTCTGATCCATAAAAGGACCTTTCTTTAGAAAAGTAATTACACAGATTCCTACTGGTGCACCAGCCTCCTTCCCTCCCCCTCCCTGGCAGAAATCAGCCATCAAGTCAAAATACCCAGCATAAGGCACAGTGGTGAGGGGAGATCACTGCTGCCATGCCTCGTTCCAGGCATGGGATGCAGAAAGGGCACAGGGTATAGGATTACCTGCAAAAGACTGTTTATAATCTGCTCAGGGAACATGAATTAGAAACAGATTATAATTATTGTATTTATAATATAATTACTATCATCATAATCACATCAGTTCTATCCTGCCTGTTCCCAGTTATTGGGGCTCATGGTGGCTCACAATATTCAAAACTTGAAAGATTCATAGAAGTATACAAAAGATAAAAATAGAATTAAATTGGTTAAATGTTAAAATTGTACAAAACACTTAAGTGAAAAACATGAAAAATAATACAGAAAGTAAACCTAGTCTAGCACAAACTCACAGGCCCGGAATATTTCCAAATATCTGCCAGAACAAAAAGTGGTTGACCTACTTTCAGAAACGTAGTAAGGAGTGCGCCAACCTAGCTTCTCTGGGAAGAGGGGATTCCATAGCCTTGGGATAGCCACTGAGAAGGCCCCTCTCCTGAATTCCTACCAAGAATGTCTGTGAGGGTGCTGAGGCCAAGAGAAAGACCTTCCCAGAACTTAAAGCCCCGGCAGGCTCATAAGTATGGCAGCAGCTTTCTGAATCAGCTGGAATTTCTGAACACTCTTCAGAGTAGCCCCAGCGACAGCATGTTACAGCAAACTGAATGAGATTCAACTAAGGTATGTGTTACCATGGCCAAATCAGAGCTTCAGGAATGGGTGCAGCTGCTGCATTAGTTTAACTGTGCAAAGGCACAAAGGCCACTGCCAAACCTGGGCATCCAGTCTCGGGGCTGAATCCAAAAGTACACCCAAGCTGCAAACCTGTGTTGTCAGAGGGAGTGTACCCAGTCCAGTACAGACAGAATCCTTATTCCTTGATCTGCCTTCCAACCGAGCACAAGCACCTCTGTCTTCTGGGGATTAAGCTTGCATTTTTGCCTTCATCTAGTCCAATACTGCCGACAGACACTGATTTAGGACTGACACAGCTTCCTTGGAGCAAGGTGGAAAGGAGAAATAAAGCATCATTAGCATTGTGGTGACACTGAACCCCAAAACTCTGGACATCCTCTCCCACTGGTTCTATGTATGTGCTAAATGGCATGGGGGACAGAACAGAATCCTGAGAACACCACAGAACAATGACCAGGGAGTTGAATGGGGGCCCTCATCACCACCTTCCAGGTCTGCCCCTCCAAAGAAGAATGCGATACTATAGGACAGTCCCTCTCATTCCCATCCCAACGAAGTGGCCAAAAAGAATACTTACAGTCCAGAAGAACCAATAGGGACACACTCCTGTCTAGTTCCCCGTGTAGGTCTTTCACCAAGGTGACAAAAAGTGTTTTTGCCCCAAAACCATGTCTGAAGATAGTCTGAACTGGATCTAGAGGCTCCATTTCATCCAGGACTGCCTGCAGTTGGGCAGCCACCACACACTCTTAATACCGCGTCCAAAAATGGAATATTGAAGATTGTCTTGTATATCCAGGAAGGGTCTCACCACTGCCTCCTCTGGGCAGGTTGGAACCCTACTTGGACTAAGACAGGCATTAGACACACTGCACAACCACTTCAGCAGTCCTTCTCTGACTGCTTTTATGAGCCAGGAAGGGCAAGGATTCAGAAACCATGTTGTGGCTCACTTCCCCAACGATCCTGCCCATATCCTTAGGCTGTGCAAAGAAAAGTATCAAATAACACTGGACAGCAAGAGCCAAAGTTACATCTCCTGGGACTATATCAACAGCCTCCAAGTCAGATTGGATCTGGGCAACTTTGTCTGTCAAGGACTAAGGAAATTGCTCAAAGTGACCTGTCAAGAGGTCCGAGTCCTGCAGATTAGTAAATAAACCCTAACCACACACACACACACACACACACACACACACACACACACACACAAACCTCCACAGACCTGCTCTTTGCAGATGGAAAAGCAGCAGAAAAGTCTTCTCTTTGCTGCTCATGTCCCCAAAAAGTAGCCTTTCAAATAGGCTTTAGTCTATGTTCGGTCAGCTTTGTTCTGAGGTTTCCACCAACATCACTCTGTCATCTCACTCATTTCTCATTGCTTTCAGTTCCCTAGAAAAGCAGGATGCTGTGGTGACCCTACCTCCATGAGATAGGGCACTCAGGAGTGACTGTGCTCACCACCCTCATCATTTCTTCATTCTAGAGGTCAGGACTTCAACATAGTTGCCTGCAGAGACAAAGGGAAAATCCCCAAGAGCCTTCAGGAAACCATTCAGATGTATCAGCCTACTGGGATGGTACATCTTAACTGGTCATACAATCAAGAATAGAAGATTTGGAGGAGGCGAAGAACCCTATCAGGTCCAACCTTCTGCTTACTACAAGACTCCAGGTTAAACCACCCCTCTCAGATGGCTGTTTAGCTGCCTCTCGAATGCCTCTAGCTCAGGAGAGTCCACAACTTCCCTAGGTAATTGGTTATATTGTTGTACTGCTCTAACAGGAAGTTCTTCCTGATGTTCAGCCAGAAGCTGGCTTCCTGTAACTTGAGCCTGCAATTTCATGCCCTGCACTCCAGGATTATTGAGAAGAGATCCTAGCCTTCCTGTGTGACATTTCGAGTGCTAGAAAAGTGTCTTCTCTTCTTAAAGCTAACCATGCCCAGTTCTTTCAATCTCTTCATGGGGCTTTGTTTCCAGTCCCTGGATCATCCTTGTTGTCCTCCTACCCAACTTGTTTGATCTTTCATAAACTGTGGTGCCCAGAATTGGACACAGTAGTCCATTCACTCCAGATGAGGCCTAACCAGTGCTGAGTACAGGGGAAATAATATTTCACATGATTTGGAAGTGATACTTCTATTAATGGAGCCAAATTAGCATTCACCCTTTTCTGAAGCCACATTGCATTGTGCACACATATTCAGCTAGTGATCTACAACAATTCGAAGATCCTTTTCAGGCAAACTTAATGATTGATCTGTATTATCTTTTCAGCAGTCAGATCCAGTATGGAGTTATGTGAGAAAGGGATCAACAAGTAGTTTCTGGAATGGCAACCCTCCCTCAAGTCTACATCTACTCTTGTGGATATGAATGTGCTGAAACCTGGGGATTTCAGACTACAAAGCATTCTTTCAAAAAATCATTTTTATGGTTTGGGGGCCCGTTTTAATTAGTTCCTCCTCACACACCATAAATGTCCAAGTAGATTCCTATGTACACCCCAGCAGATTTTGCATGTTTTCCATTACGTGTTAAAGCTACTTTAGGTGACATTCTCATACAGGCAAATCAAAGGAAATGAGTTTACTGCAAAGGCAAAACATCTTCTGCAGGACTGATGTAAGGTGCTCGAACTAAATACTGAGTGGATGTTGTCTCATTTTTCCTCCCTTCTCCATGTACACACAGTAACCAGTTGTCTTTGACATACTTCCAGTGAAGTGTCTCTGAAAATGGGCTTGCTGAGAAGCTGCTGGCACATGTGCTCCAACCCAGGCTGAAGGAACATTCTTGCCACATTTGGCAGTGACATCTCAACCTTTCAGTGTAAATTGGTTAGGGTGTCTTGACTAAAGTGCTTTCTCCTTATGTGAGCTATATAGGAGAAACATTTTTTATAATAGGAATGTCTGCAGGAAAACTGAGTTTACAAGAAGTCACACTTGTAAGTTCCTACAGAAGGCCAAGACAATGTACAGCAGCACTATTACGAGTGGCCATTTAAGTAGTGCTAGTACTCTGGGAACATCCCACACTGGACGTTCATTATGTAGAAAAAGAAGCTTCCATTCATTTGGAAGTGAAAGGCAGAATTATTGTGGAACATATTTTGGACCATGTAGTTTGGATCCAGTTCACAAGATGGATCAGCATACTGAGAAATATCATGGTAACACTCAAAAATCACTAATTGGGAGTCAGGTTGATAGGGAGGTGCTTAACACTTCCTTCACCTGCTAGCTCTCTTCTGCACATTCTACTCCTCAAACCTACTTCTGGACCCTGAGCCCAGATGGAGAGGTATGCTTTTCACACACAACCCTGTAAATCCTCACATACATTGCAAGGTTTATACTCAAGTGTCACATCTTTCTACGTTTGTGGACTGTGGGAAAGGAACAGGACCATTGGCAAGTACATTGCACTGGCTTCTGCAATTACAAGACTTGCATGATGCAGACTGCACACAGGTTTACCTTCTTTTTGGCTATAGTTTATTTTCAAAACTGCTTCCACCAATGGAAGTACTGCATTCTGAAATCTTAAGACTAAGTTTAATACTAAGTGAAATTAGCAGGACATGAGATTTTAGCCAAGCTTAGGTATTACCTGAATATTCAGTACTGCTGCAGAATTGGACCCATCACTATTACAATTGGAAATGAGCATTTCCTAAGTCCCAGGAATGGGCAGAAATGTTAATTTCCAGATTAACAACACTCTCTTCTTCAAACCTTGCTGACTTTTCCTGTTCACTTCATATTGTGCTTATATGCTCTCACTCCATATATTGCCTCTTCATTTTTTTTTAACAAACAGGTAATTTTTCCAAGAGGTACACATTTCCTTACCTGTAAAACCTTAAGGCATTTCAATTTACCAGTATGTAGTCAGAAATAAACTTCACTCAGAACTCATGATAGTAAATGGCTTAAAAATCTTTAAACTATTTTTAACTTGTTAAGGCACTTGGAACTTCTCATTATTCCCAAATTTGCATCCTTCTGGCAGCTCAAAAAGCACTTCCATCATTTTTTATTACACACATTTATATGATTTAATAAGTTAAAAGCAATTTAGTAAAAATATTTCTTTGGCATCCTGCCTATGAACTAATGTTTTCTTTTGCTTGTTTCAGAAATGTACTTCAGCTCCACAGAACACTTACAACCTCCCGGATCTCTACAGAACTGAAGATTATTTTCTTATCAAATATATAGGTAGCAAGTATCAAAGCCACTCGTATTGTATTTCAGTTGCTATAGCATTAAAACCAATTTAATTTATATGCTAGACAAAAGAGGAAAATGACATTTCTACATTGTGTCTTTGCTATTAAAGATAAACCAATCATGGTAGGCAGTTTCAAGTTTTAACTATATTGGTGCAATTTTGTGCTGTCCAGCAGGAAAACCCTTTAAGCTACCTGTTTTGCATTTGCCGTTGACAGGAGAAATATTTATATAAACAAATGTTAGAAGATGGTCAATTTAAGATGTCAAAATCTGATGAATCTGCTTACCTTAAGTAGTACACTGAAGATACTTGACTGATTTAAGCACAGCTGCTACAGCCTATCATTCATGCTACTGCTGCCTCAGTGCAGAAATTCTATTTTGAAAGTAGCCTATTAAGTGGAAAGTGGATTCCAAAGGAAAAAATGTCCATTCAAGTTTTTTCCTGTCAGGTAACAAAGAGATTCAGAGTTTTTGTATAATGTAACTTGAATGGTACAAATAAAGTTCTGAAAATGTGTTTTATGTACTGTTGCAGCAGGATACCCTTTAAATAATTAACATAGATAATACGTACTAAGAAAATCTGACACACCCAATAACCACACGCTTTTGAGGGGTAAATCCTTTTGGTGCAGGCTCAGCTACAAAGGCATAAATTTATTAGATATACTACATGTAAGTCACTACTTTGCACAAAACAGTCCTCATATATGCTTCACCACCATTAAATTGCAATCCGAACAATGTTGCAATCCTGTAACATTGCAGTATTTCAGCTCCTTTCCCTACTGCAGCATATTAATGAGCTCACTTGTCTATACTATTGGCCCAATAATTCCAACCAATCCAGTTTGATCAGCATGAACATACCTTGCTGCATGAGCATCTCCCTCTGTTAAAATGAATGGGGCACCACACGCATGTGTACATTCCCTGTGTGTCTTGGGAGGACAAGCTATGACCTGATCCATACTGCACAATTGTCACTGCAATGCGGAGATTCAAAGAAGTGATACCTCAGAACAGTTCATGGGTCATTCCAGCTCTTCCAGTTGGTAAGCAGTAGATAAGCTGCTTAGAATACACACGTACATGCACCAGCATATTGATGCTAGATACACAGATTTGGGAGTTTTTAAAAAGCCATTTCTATAAAAGTGAAAATCACAGTATTGAGGACTACAATAGAAATACATAATCAGACTGCTACAGATTCCCCAGTACTGCTAATTTTCAGGAATGCAATAACTGTATCCTAAAAATAAAAATGAGTCTCAGTAGTACACGCTTAACCATAGTTGCTTACACTGTACAGTATAATCATTAATTGTGTATACTGTTATACAGACCAAGGTAAGTTAGCATGATTTTTAAAAAATGGTGCTGCATACACCTGACTTGAAAAGTAGCAGGCTTTGCTATATGTTGTAACAGGTAAGAAAAATACATTAAGCAAAGTCCTTATGCTGCATTTACCCAGAATGTCTATAAGAAACTGCATGTGCAACTGCGAATCATATTTAAGTATGCCTGCATGTGGAAAACTGGTACATCAGGGAGAAATCTAAACTTTTGAAGCCCTTAAAAATAAAGCATCGTAAGTAAGCAAGGCGGCAGTCTGCATCCAATTGGTGCTCATCCATTGAAAAAGAGTTCCATTCCTGCAGGAGCTGCTTGCAAAGCAGACCTAGAGGGGAAAATTTCTTCCGGCAATTCCACTCGTTTCACCCTCACTCCTGCTGCTGTATCACCTCCCATGTTGGTCCAAAGTGTTCCCCAAACTTCTAAAGCAGTTTGGGGGTGCAGGGTCAAGAGCCAACATCACCTCTCTATTCCACTAATGGAAAACCAAAGAGCCTTGATAAAATCCAATTCCAGCATTACCAACGGGTTGCTGGTGTAAGCCAAGTAAATAATATTTCCATAGTGAGCTGGATCATGTGATCTGGCCTTGGTGGGATTTTTGTTCTGTCCAAATTTCTGATTTATGCTTTTGGGGAGGGTTTACACAAATCCCTACCGGTGCGCTCCTTCCCTCCCGCTCTATGGCAGAAAACAGCCATCGAGATAAAATACCCAGCATAAGACATAATGGTAGGGGAGATGACTGCTACCTTGCATCGTTCCAGGCACTCAATGCATGCAAGCCTTCAACTCATGTTTGGAGGCTTACATGCAGAAAGGGCACATGGAGATACATAGACAGACAGACAGACAGACAGACAGACACCTTGTAAAAGTAGTAGCTAATATAGATCAGTAAAGATTTCAGATTTTGAGTTTTTGCCTGAAATGGAAATGCTGTTACCTTCCCCACTGATACTATCATTTGCCTATTTTTTCTTACCACCACTTAGTGCTGGAACACATGATACTTACTTGACTCTAGCATACTGCAACAAAGTGAAGCAAAATTAGACATTTAAAGCATCTCTTTACCCAAGTGACACTTAGAAAAAGGAGAAACTATTTACATTTTTCAGTAACTGGCCAAATGGGTACTCAACTCAGTATCAGTTGAACAGAATGATCTCCCTACAAAATTAAAAAGAGATAAAGTAGTCTGTTTTTCCTTATTTAACTGTGTTATAAGGGAAACCTGCTTATGGCAATAAGATACACAGCAGTTCTTCTATACTCACATTAGAAAATGCAAGACACCTTGTAGCCTATTACTTTTAACATTTCCTGCCAAATTCATGAACTGTATTAGAAATGCAAGACACACCAGTACATTCTGAAGTTCCTGAGTATACAACTGAAATGTTTACATGCTGCTGATCTACTCCATTTCTCTACCTTCAACTATTACACCACTAGTCCTGTGCAAGACACTGAAATATAATTACTGCAAGGCTACTAAACGAAGCATGCGAGGAACAACTCAAAAATGTTATAATTTGTTGGGAAGTCAAGTTACAGAAATTGTCAAAGTAAGACAAGTGCATGATCCATTACTTCTAAATCCAATTGACTTCAGTAGGAGAGTCATGGTCTCTTGAGCACTTCTAGGGAGGATCACCTGGTACCTACATTGTACTCATTCCAGCTTAGGTGAAGACCTTATTTTCCCTGGAATTGCCCCAGAAATTCTGGTTTCAGTTTGCTTTGAATTCTGCAGTGTATTTAAATCCTTGTGATACTGCTAGTTCACACTTGTAGTTCACACTTCTTTTTAAGTATTAACTATTTAAATTTTCATACTGTGTTTTAAGTTTTAAATTGTTATGAACTGCCCAGACAACTTTAGCTATTGGGCAGTATAGAAAAGTAGTAAGTAAATAAATAAGCACATGCTTAACTTCTCCACTGAAAGTAATAGGACTTAAAAGTATTTAACGTGGGTTGGAATATCCCACAAATTCACACATCTATTATTCCACATAACCTTGGACATGTATTGCCTCTTTGCTTGCTTGAGTAGATTCCACATAGTTCAGTTTCCACACAGCCTGCTTGTTTTTATTAGCATGACGTTCCTTCAGTAGAAGAATTCATTTGCTCAAGGCATCAACTTGAGCATCCACATTTGCTTTTTTTTCCAACAAAAGCTAGCATAATGAAGAACATTCTGAAAGCCAGCGAGGCAAACCTTGTAATAAAGCAAATATTTTACATTAAGCACAATACAGCAATTTATTTAGATGCTTAAATGAATACAAAGGGGAAATAAAGATCACAAAATTATCCATACTACAACAATGTGTCATATATTAGATGGTATAAATGAATACAACACCATGTTGGTGTTAACTAAAGATAAAACTAAATATCCAAAAAATGCAGCACCCATTTCCGTATGCTGCTTTAACACAGTACACTTTTATACAGATCTAAAAGGTGTCAAAATTAGTAGCTGCAAACTTGTTTCTTGCATGTGAATTTTTTAGCTTAAAAGATTTCAGAAAATGGCTCTGAAATACATAGTCATCCGTTGTAATGTCAAGGATATTCAAGAACAAGAAAATTCTATAATACAATAGAGTCCAGATATATTTTATGTTGCTGGCCTCTGTTTTGAGATTGTACAAGGTTATGTGCAAAAACTAAGTCTGTCAAAATTCTTACTATAGCAGTTTCAAGCTTTTTGCTAGGTAAACTAGATACAGCATTTATTACACAGCAGGGCAACACTAAAAAAAAAGAGAACCAAATCTATGATGGGTACACAAGAACAATAGCATAAGCATCACTTGAATAGGTCTAAAAGACTGTACAAATATACATTTCAACTATTCAGAATGATACATGAAAAAACAATTTTCCCAGAGTCTACTATACACATTGAATTGGTAGCTCTTATGTTGGCCCTATAACTACCATGTGGAAAAGGGTAATGTTTAAAAAGACATACAGCTGAACATATACAGAGTGAAATAAACGTTGAAAATGCCGATAAAATAAACCTTTGCTTTTCTTCAGTGAACTGGAGCCACCAAGCGTTATCAGTTTTCACATTAAGTTACTGTGCTCATCACAGCAGATACTCTCAAGTGAGTATGCCAACAGCATACTTTGCAATATGAACTGGAATTGGTGGCCTCGCAGCCACTAGCCAATGACCTTGCACTCAAAAGGCAGTACCAGTTACAATGAGCTTTAGCAGTCATTCTGAAATGTAAGTGTTTAGACAGTTGTCAAGTGGAAGATACTGAGGCTAGGGAGTGGAACAGCTTATGCTTGCTGGCTACTCAGCTCTACCCCAGTTAGGCTGCTATGCATTGATTCTGTAACCCCATCAGTCACGCTGTCAAACTGGTCTCCATCCTCACTGTCAATTGTGCTATTCTGCCATTCCATTTGCTGATTTGACAAGCTCTCTTCAATTTCTGTTGAATTTTTCCACTGTGACTGGTCTTTAGACCAAAACTCGCCTACTTTTCCATAGGAACTATTCTTCCACTTTGACTGTTCTTCATCACTCTCAGATGCAACACCTTTTGTTTCTGCCACTGGTTTACTATTATTAATATCTTCACTTTGGGATGATTCATCTGTCCATGTTTCTGGTTTCACTTCAGGCGTGTTATCCTCAAAGTCAGATGCTTGTTGAGAACCAGGTCCACTTTCAGATGGTGATGCTTCATCTTTCCATTCAACAGCATCATCTTGATCTTCTTGGTCACCTTCACTGTCTGAACCATCAGCTACCAGCTTTGCTGGTTCTTCTACAGGACAACTATCTTTGTATTTTGGGTTTCCTTCTTCCTCTTTTTGGTCTGTTTTCTCTGAAGACTCCAAGGTTGTTTCTTCAGGTGTCTCCTTAGATATGCTTTCATCTGGGTTCTCATTTATGCTATTCATGGATGTTTTATGACCAGAGTTAGAAACAGATTCTGCAAATGGACTATTGCTTTCATTAAATTCCTCTTCTATATTCTCATAACTGTCTGAGGAACTTTCATTATCTTTCTCTAGGTTTATTTTTTTATCTACAGTTTTGCTAGCATTGACTCTAGAATTTTCTTCATCATGATTTTCAAAAAGCCATTCATCATCAAAGTCCATTTCATGTTTAACTTTATTTAGTTCTTTCATATTGAATCCAAGCAGAACACCCAGTTTATACCTTTCACAATCTCGAACACATTTTTTCCTTTTGTTGCTAAAGTGTGAAGCAATGTCAGATTTCCATAGCCAAAGACTGGCAGCTAACTTTTCAATCTCCCTCCGACTGGGATATGGTTGTTTATTGAAATATTTTGTAAGAAATGTTTTTCTGGCTTCATAAGAATCATCTTCATGACCCTTGGGATCTAAAGCTAGTACTACAGGTTCTTCAGGCTTCTCTTCAAAGACAGAAGGGGAATCATCATCATCAATTTTCCTTTTCTTCAAGAGAGAGAATTCCATGTGTTCATAAGTACGTTTCACGGGTCCTGCACCTGGAGACTGATTAAGCCGAGAGGGAACATTTGATTTGTCTTGACCATTTTGTGTCTTCCCCACACCCCTACAATGGACGAGGTGCAGTGTTATAGTAGAGGCTGTCATGTTACTGGTGTACACGCCAAGACAATGAATACATTTGTATGTGAGCTTTTTCTCTACCGGATGAACTGTTTGAATAACTTGATGCCTCTCCCTTAAATGATGTGCCAGTGCATCGGAGATGGGTCCTTTCAAGATTGAAAAACACAAAGGGCAAAGTGTTTTCCCAACATCTTTTTTATATGGAACTGCTGCTTGTGGAGAACTTTTTACAGGTATATCTGCCTTCTCCTGAATTTTTGGCTGTGGCTTCGGAGGAACTGGAGGAGTATTTTGAGCATGATAAGCTACAGATTCAGCAGGGGCATCCCTCAAATTGTAGGTAGTTACAAGCAAGTGTATATTGGTGTGACTACCCTGCTGCAATGTTAAATCAAAGGTTAAAGTGGAATCAGTTTTAGGTCCCATTTCTTCATCAACATGAACCATTCGCATATGAGCAGCCATCTTTTCAACATCATTGAAAGTTGAACGACAGTAGGGACAAGACAAACCATGAATCAACATGTGGTTAAGCAATGTGTCAGTAGGCAAGTAGCGATTACAGTATAAACATTTGCTAGTAAAATTATGTATTTTCATTATATAGTTAGCTACTGCAGGCACCTTTTCAGCCTTGTGCTCTTTCTCAAAATGAACACTGTACACATTTTCTGGGAACAGCTCATTACAGATTGTACAGATTTTCCATTTCTGAGTCGATGAAGTGTTAACAGCAGCAGCACCTGTAGCACCAGCTCCAAGAGGCTTGGGTGTGGACTGGGCTAATACCCTGGATGCTGCCTGAGACTGAGCTAATGATGTTGATTTCAGTGAGCCTGATGAAAGTGAAGATGAGTTGGCAGACTGAAGAGAGTACCTTGCTGAAGCCTGTGATCTTGGTTCCCCACCAAGGGGATAAGGTCTTCCATTTCCACTTGGGGAAAACTGCTTCATTGATTGAGACTGCTGGGACAAGGAAACTGGGGAGCTACCAGTTAAGTTTAGCCTTCCTCCCGTGTGACTAACATAACTTGGTGGCACTGATTTCACTCCGTAGTTATTCTGCTGTAGGTGAACATTGGACATCATATTCACTCCACTGGAATTTAGCGTAGGCTTTGGTATATTCAGTCTATTCATCATTTGCTGCGATGGAAGAGACCGGACGTTTCCAGGAGACAGGGGACCCATCCTCTGAGGAAGACCCATAGGCTTTTTATCCTGTGGTTTTGGAGCAATTAGCATCAAAGGTTTGGATCTTGGAACTACCACATTAGTGTGCCCTATCATTGCCGTCACCTGATATCCTATACGCTCATGGTCTTCAATGACATGCTGTACTAAAGCTTCATATGACTTCGGCATAAAAAGGCATCGTTTGCAGTGAATCATGCCTTCCTCTCGAGTACCGGAACTTAAGGATACAGCCCCATTGAGTGACTTTTCACTTGCCTTCGCTATATAAGGTGCAGCAACATGCTGAAAATGTTCCCTGTAAATGTGCTTTCTAACTATTTCGTAGAGAGGATCTCGGTAAGTGCACTTCTTACAGTAATAAACAGCTTGTTCTACACTGTCAGCCTGCTTAGGTTTAAGGCTATCATGCTTGTTTTTATCTTTAAAAGTGCTGATGCCTCCACTTGGTGTGTTGGCATTTGGAGCATGAAATATTTTAATGTGCGTTTCCAAAGTCTTTTTGTCTGCATTGAAAGTACAGTAGGGACAATTAAGAAGGATCCTGTTTTCAAAGTCTTCACTATGAACATTCCGAAAATGACTTTTGTAGGCAGAAAAGAACTTCGAGGAAAATGGACATGCACTGCAGCAAAAGGGTTTTGTCCGATAGTCCTTTAAGACAAAAACAAAAAAGAAGCTAAGTATCAGAAAAGTTACATTAAAGAAACTTCAATTTCCCTCCTAAGCATTCTGGACAAATGAATCACAGTCTGAATTTAGCATCCTTTTCTTACGCTGGCAAAATAAGGGTAATACACAGTTCAATTTCTGAGCAAAGCAAACATCATTTAAATACCTTAGAAGAAGGTTATCAGTGGGATCTTTAAAAAGTTGAATATGCGGTGGTGGTAATTCCTAGCAGAGTGTCTCAAGACATTAAAAAGGAGGGCATATTCAATTCGTTTTCCAAACAAACCAAATCAAATCACAACTAGATGCATAGATACAAGGTATGGGGCAATAGCTTACCAGCTGCATTTAAAATGTGCCAAAATGATGTTTTATGTACTGCAATTAAGCTACATATCTGTATATTGTCTCAAGCGCATATTAGGTAAAGGAACGATTTCTCAATGTATTAAATAAAATAAACTCACTGAATTCAGATAAGCAAAAGACAGATGAGATTACTTTTTCCCTTCATTATTCAAATAATGCCTCAAAACAGTGTTACCATATGGAAGTATTTGATATATGAGAAATGGCCTTCTGGTCAATAAAATCCAATGGTGAGGCTTTGTTCCCACCGTTATCTATCAGTTACACACCATTCTGCCCTCCTCTGCTATGTTTGGTATGCGCTCTCTGTGCTGCTACATTCACAGTGTTGTTTCAAAACTGTCTTAAAATCAAACAAGGAATATTAAGAAATTGTGCCATTTGTAACTGTGAAAGTCAACTAAGGCCGTAATTCCCTTAAAATGACTAGAAAAGTTTTCTTCCCTCACATAGTAAGCTGAATCAAAAATTATTTGCTGGTAGATGTTTTTGGAAGACAGAAGACTAGTCCTGACCATCATGGTAGTAATAGCTTTACAGAAAACCTCCTATTGTCACTATTTCTAATTATTTATTTATCACCACAGATTCAGCAATGCATGTCGACATGGAAGATCAATTCATAAGTAATAAGAAACTCTGCTTTCCTGATAAGCATTTGGCCAGTGCTTTCTCCCTTTCTTCTCCGACCTTTGTGGGCAAGGAGACAAGATTGACAACTTCTACTTTTGAACTAATAACTACACCTCCCCATTACTCAGACAGACTCAAACCACAGTTTAATATCGTAGAAGTGAGAATACTCAACAAACCACAGTTACCCAGATGTTAGATGCAAGGTATCAGAAGATACCTAGAGTTGGTTCATTTGAAACTCCCATTTAGTTCAAGAGTGAAAAGGGTTAAGTTTCCGATTTCTTTCCCTTGGAGATAGAGGAGAGGTAAGGGGACAAGCACACAAACTCCAGGCATGCCTGAAAGCATTCTCTAACAGGAAACTAGGGGCTCTTGTAAGGTCTGAAACTAGATGAGTGATTGATCTAAGTGTACCAGGCTTCCATTAGCGATAAATAATTTTGCACACGTTTTCTTGAGAATATGAACTGGAAATACTTCACTGAAGCAACCTCTGATTACAGCTTTATCACAACTTCCAAATTTCATTAAATTCTTGTCCAACCCATTCTGTGATTACACCTATTCAGATCACTCCATTAAATAGGTAATTTAGACATTATATCAAAGCATGGCTTATGTTAGCAACAGTTTGGAGCACCAGGCTGTTGTCTCAGATTTAACAATCAAATCATAGTTTAGAACTGCATAGTTTAGAACATTTTCTACCTGCCTAGCTTAAGTTCATAAATTCACTCCTACCTCAATTAATATTATATTGCATTCATAGCCTTCTTCCCCTCTTGTGAGGAACCCAAGGCAACTTACATATCTCCATTTTATCCTTACAAGAAACCTGTGAGGTAGGTTAGGCTGACAATGCGTGACTGGCTCAGAGTCACTCAGTGAGTTTCATAGTCAAGTGGCAACTAGAACCCAGATCTCCCTAGTCCCCAGCCCAATACCACTCTATAATATGGTAGCTTCTGGAAAGAAAATAAATGTCTGCAAGATTATAATTTATCAATATGCACACCATGCTAAACTATAATCCACTTGCAAATCCACTACAAATTATGTTTTCCAGTTTATCTGCTATGTTATCACAAGCTAGGTTTGTCAATTCAGGTATCACATCAACTCACAGTTAAAACTTCCATAAACGTAGTTTGGCATGGTATCGGAGTTGAACCACCACCTTGATCATTACTTCATTTTCAGTGCTGCCCAACACTCAAAACTGTTGAAACCTGGGTTTCTTATAATGCCCTAATACATTTTAATGTACTAAGCCTATGTGAAACACCAACGTTTGAAAAAAAAATTCTGTTGTAATTTTCAGACAATTCTAAAAGGCCTCCAAATTGCTACTTAGGATTAAGTAAAATTTTCTTTGCAAGTATATCTCATCGTAAGTATCTCCATTAAGGCTACAACCTGGCTGTCCTGTCCCACCCCATCCAAAGACACCAGTATCAAGGCGGTAATCCTATGTGCATTTATCTGATATTAAATCCTACTGATATTAGGAGGAATTACTGCAAATCACAGGCCTAAATTGCACTGCAAAAACAGTTAACAGTCATTGTAAAAATGTAGTTTCGTATTTATTTACTTCAGACTCAAGAAGCTTTTATACAAGTTCATTACTAACCTGATTTTTTGTAAGTGAAGGGTCCCACAATCCAACATCTTCCCATGTAGTGTTTTTCAGATAGAAGTCATTCGGTTCAAACTGCTTAAAATCCTGCAATGATGGAAAAAAATAAGTAAAAACATAAATAGCATAAAATAAATAAATACACCAAATAATATACCATTCATGTTTTGTTCTTGAAACTTCATGAAAGATCACACAACCAAAAATTAAAAGTACAGGGACTGACAGACTTTGTCTCAGAAAATACAATGCATTTCTGTTTTCTTTTTAAATAGAAGAAATTAACATGTGTTTTAAAATGGACAGGACTTTAGAGTGCATACTTTTGACTGGACCTCATCCCACTTTCTCCCTACTACAAAGTCAGTTTTTTATTTTTTCCCAGAGTAGAAGCTACTACAGTAATGCACTAATCACTTACACAAGGTACATAATCATTGATTTCAGGCAAGGAGTTTTTACTACTAGTAGTTTTTACTTTTATGTCTGCATGGATATAGAAATACTTATAGGAGCATAAAAAGGCTAAGTAGAATGGTTGAACTTCTGCTAAGACTTAGTAAGAAAGATATGGTTTTTTAATAGGAGAAAAAAGAGCAGTCTCTAAAATGCTAGATTCAGCGGGAACCTTACTGAGAATGTTCTCTGAGGTACTGCTCATACGGTTGTCAAAAAGTAAAGGAGCAGGAAGGTGCTGCAACTACCACTTGAAGTATGTGCAGTGTGCAAAACACCTGCATTTGAAGGGAGAGGATAGAAGAATCATGTCCCCAGCTGGAGTTCCAGAGAGACCATCAAGTTTGACTTCACAAAAATGATCAAGAATTGCAATGATAGCACAATATGTAATCAGTACTGGATCCCACTGTATTTTAGATGTGCACAGTTTTCAAAGGATTTAGTGTTCAAATTATTCCCAATGAAATGAATTATAGCTGCTTATGTGTATAGTAATTCTGAAAGTTAAAACAAAGACACAATGCGCATTTTTATGTTTTAGCTATGAATTAGACATTAACATCAATCTAGTTTATTGGCTATATACAAAATCAACATTCAGTAATTAAAATGCACTTCAATGCCCAACTTCGGTATCATAAAAACTACATAACCTGGCATTGTTATCTCACACATTTTTGAAATATAGGAGTCCACAGAGTCACATTGTAGTAAGAAATAAACAGATTTCCACTGCAAATAGAGAACTTACTTCAAGGACTTCTTCACCTAAATAGAATATAAGGCTATTCAATCACAGTGAAACTGATAGCTAAAAGATATACACAGTTATTTGCCTCCAAAGCTGGGCTGTTTTAAAAGTACAACATCTGCCCTTTTACCAACCCTCTTTAGACCCAGAAGGCCCTCTTTCAGTGATGGAGGAGCAGTTGGTGTGACTCCTCTTATAACATCTGTCACAGCTGCTCCAGCCAGCAGCCAGCTTGTCCTAAGTCTTCCCTCAAAAACAGGGTACAGGCATTCTTGCTTAGCAGGGTGAGCAAGCCACCACTGTCCTGGCAAAAGTGACAACCCCTTGCCTTCCTCCCAGTCTTACAGCCACAAAGGTGGGAAGGCTACCCAGCAACCACACAGTGACCCTCCCTCCCTTCCCACCGATATGGTTTGGAGAAAAGCCAAGAATGGTTTAATTGCTGTGCTGTCCAGGCAAGTGAAATGCTTAAAGACTCCAGCACCAAACCAGCTAGACCTCACCCTTGCTGTTATCCTTTCCTGTTCTGAAGCAGGAAGGGAAGATGGGGTCTCCCTGGGCTCCAGTCAGCCATAATGCTTCATGCTTCCCTTTTCCACCAAAAAAAAAAAAGAGGCAGGGGACAGCCCATTTTGTGTTTAGGGCTTCCTTGGTTGCTGGATCAGCCAGGCAAGTGACTATAATTTTTGGCTGGCTTTTGGTTGGCAACTAAGGGCCGCCAAAAATGGTAATTCTCAGCACATACAGATGGAACGACCTTGTTCTATCATTAACTGTTCTCCTGAACATTTCAACTAAATATATCCCCAGTGGAATGTGGAAGCCTTTAATTCAACTGCAATTCAAATACTCAGTGAAAGATCCTACTTACTTCTATATGCTCTTTACAGTATTCCAAACCGATGTCACTTAGTATCTTTTTCACAGTTTTCCGGGCTTTTCTTAAACTGCCAAGGTTGTTGACAGGAAGTTGGAACATAGTTTCTACTGCAGGGGAGAAACAGAAAGCAAATCACTGAAAATGCTGTATTCTAATGCGGCTTAACTCACAGTATCAAGCACTGTCCATTGTTATTTTAAGATACAGTCTTGACATTTATATACCTCATATTCATCAGATTCTATTTTCTGGGCAGTTTTGCTTTAAAAACCAAGGTTGTTCAGGCTGTCATGTGTTAAACCTTCCTGAACCAGAAAATGAAAAATTTCAGAGGCAAAAAGCCTTAATACAGGAATTGGTAACATAGGCTTCTGATTTGGTCTGCCACATTTCCTAACCTGCAGTTAGAGTATTATTCTTAAAGCCAATTTTACATACCCTCTTTACATTAAAGGTCAAACTCTTCATGTCACAAGAGAATATTGTAACCAAAGCTCTAGAGTTTTAGAAAGACCTTGCTGAACACAAGTTTATTTTAATCTTTACAGAAAGAAAACAATTCAAGATAGTTAAAATGCTCTACCAAAAATGTTATATATAAAATTACCCATTAATTAATTAAAAGCTTCCTCACTATCAGAACAATATGACAGTGGAACCAGCTGCCAAGAGAGGTGGTGGACTCTCTCACACTACAGACATTCAAAAAGTAACTGGACAGCCATATGAGTAGGATGGTGTAAATTGGTGTCCTGCAACAGCAGGGAGTTGGACCCAATGGCCTTCATGGCACGTTCCAACTCTATTTTATGATTCATATTTTTAATTATTAAAGTTTACTGAAACATTTTTCTTACTGCCACAACACAAAATGAACAAAGCATAGAGTGGTAACTACCTTTCTTCAGTTCTTCCACCCTGCTCCCATAATCCATGTCACTCTCCTAATTAAGCAACAGCTGGCTTTTTCAAACCCTTTGAGTGTCTTAAATCAGGGAATGCCTGCTTTGGCACCCTGGGAATATTAACAACTAAATTCAGTGCCTTAATCCTAAAACTGGCCTTGATTCTGTGGCAACAACTGTGGCCTCAGATACCTGGCAATTGCTTAAGTTTATACATTCTATCCCACAGGTACATAGGAATACATAATTCAGGTATGTACAATATCTAGATTTCATCTTTTTCTGCATATGCTTATAAGGAAACATAGAGGATAGCTGACCAGTTTCAAGGTTGGATGAACCAACAATGGACTTTTAGTATTACATTTCAGCACTTGTAATTTTGCCAGTAGCTGATGTACAAATATGAAACATATCTAGTAAGAGTTGTGCATTTCACCTTGGAACTGAAGCCTCTCTTCACTTCAGTGATTGTTAACAATTACCAATGAAGCAAAAACTCATTTTAGAAACTCCCTGACTTTAGAAATCTAAAGCAATATCCACTACTACTACATTTTCAGATGACTTCTGTGACAGAAAAATACAATCCACCAACATTCTTTCCTGTACATGGCTACAGAATGAATGGTGGATGCACACTGATTCAGATTACTCCCCTGCCCCCAAAAGGCAGCCTTCTGACAAGCATTTTCATGTGTGTTTTTATATAAGCCACCTCTAAATATTGTCCCTTAATTCCATGCTTATAATTTGGAGGGGGGAAATAAAATACTTTGTCAGATACAAATAGAAGACATTTTATACCAGATTGCAAACACTAAGCTTTTCCCCAAAACACCTATGTAGTTAGCTTGATTCAATCCAGGAACAAGTATGTCTTTTGAAAAATAACCTGTCTCAAGCCAAAGTTGTTTGCTATGCAGAAGCAATATGTACACCCTTTTCCTATTAAGATGCTTGCAAAGCACCAGACAATTCAGCAGAGTACAGTTTTAATTGCAAACAATAGCTAAGTTCCAACAATGATCTATCTTTCTGAAACTCTGCATGTTTCTAATGGTCCCTGTAAAGTAATCCCATTAGAGAGGATGGCCCTGGTATCCAAAATTTACTGCTCATCTTCATATTTAGTGAAATTTATATTTCACTAAAAATATAGAAAACAGAAGCAGTCCTAAGATTCAGAATGCCAGTTTGTCTAACAATATAGCATTATATGAAAGAAATGTCAAAAGATAAACTATTTTGGTTGGGTTACAATGTAAAATAAAATGTAAAGCAAACTGGATTTTAGGTTCTGCAACACCAGACATTCATTTCTTGTTACAATACAACAGAAGCCAAAATTATGTGGCCGTATCAGTGTTAAGGAGATAAGCATGAAAACCAGGTAACTGTCAAGATAATATGTGGACAGCCCATAAACAGATCTGACACTTCTGTTGTTTTGTTTTATACCTTGTTGTAATCTGAAGAGAGCTTTGGCTACTGGGTGGCATGGAAATTAATGAATAAATAAGCAGATTACAAGCAGCATCATATCCTGCAACAGTCTTATTTGATAATAAGAATCATAAGCTTACGTGTAAGAATATCCTAATATTTTTATTATGTTTACTGTTAACACACTAAGCTGAAACAAAGCACAGAACATGAAGAGTACACATGGTCAAGACAAAATATTTGCTAAATGTCAGTAATTTCAGGTGCTGATGTCCATGAGCAATATAGCTGGCAAGGTTTTTTAGTTCGTAAGCACAAGACCACTACCAGCACCAGGCACAGGATTTAAGGTTTTAGTGTCACCTCATTCTACTAAGCAGTTGCATGTTCTGTAATGCTCTTCTGTGCACATCAAAAAAACAGTGCAATCCTGCTACTGAGTTTGTGAGAATACAATTTCGTTAAAATGAAGGTCAATAGTGAAAAAGTAATTTCATTAAAACAACAATTTATGGCACTCAAAACTCTATTCCATCTTTTTATTGAGATCAATCATTTTAAAAGATTGTTACTCATGCTCCCTCTAGTCTCTTTCACTTCATTGTCAAAACAATGGGCAGCTGCTGTGGCCACTTTCACAGGAAATTCTGATCATTCTGTTGCTTCTTAGGTAGAAAATGCTCCATGACTTGATTAAAAGAACGTGTCTTCTTTTACTTGGATTTTAGTAATGGTGGAATGTGTCATGATAAATACTTCATAATTGAAATTCACTACCTTAACTTGACACTCGATTTGCTAGATCTATCTCAACATTTTAGATAGCTTTCTAATCTTGCAGGAATAGCTTTCCCCAATTTACCAAGTTTCCTGTTTATTTCTTCAATAAATTATTTCTGACATATTTGTGCTACCAATGCGATCAAATGCAAATATCTCAACTGAAGGCCCACATTCAGATGAAAGCGTCATCTCATTAAAATTTTCACAAATTTTCGCAGTTGGCATGAGATAAAGGAGTCCTCCTTCATAAGTAACTGAACAAATAATTCTAGTGAGTATACCATCAGTACTTAATATTCACTGTAAAACAGCTTTGGCAACATCGAACACCTAACTCTAACCCTCAAGACTGTCTGGGAGAGAAGCATAACTCTCATCATCATTTGGGTAAATATTAATTTCCAACTCAGTGAGGCTAAAGAATGTCAGAGGCTGACCATCCCAGTGCTCCCAATAGCATGTCTAATCTCACTGTTTGTTAATATTTCAAACTCAGGCTGATAAATTCACATAGGTAAGCTGCAACAGATCTCCAAAAATGAAGACATTTCTGAACAATGCCTCTTCCTTTGTCTTCAAAACTTACTGAAATCCCAAATGAGCAAATATTAGCCTCAAATTGGTATCATGCTAATGTTCATGTTGCTGAAAATAAAATGCTTAAGAACAGTGAGTAACACTCCTAGTTGTTCATATTGAGCTGCTGATACTCTTGTTTTTTGATAATGCTGTCTTATAAGGATAGGCAACTTGCGACCCTCCAAATTTTTTGGCCTATGACCTTCATCATCCCTAGCTAGCATGAACACATGAATTGTTATTTACATCAAGAAGAAAACTAAGTAAACTGCATCATATATATTCCTTCGCAGAGGATTTAGTGCATGTATAAGATCCTCAAGGTTAGGCTTTTTGTGAAGCAGAATTATTTAAAATATTGGAAATATCTTTCATCTTTGGTAATGCAACAGTCCTTTTTCCAGACTGACTCAGAAGTGAACCATTTTCACAAAAACTTTCTTGTGCATCACCAGCCACTTCAGTTTCTATCTGATTCCTTGTAACAGCTCTAGCTTATTTCTGCCCTAGTGGAAAACACCATACTCCTGTCCTGTCCTGTCCTGTTAACAATCTCTTGAAAATTTGTCTCAAAATTTTCAAATCCATCTAACAAATCTCCAGCATCTTTCCAAGGCAACAGATCCTTAAACAACAAAGTTAGAAAAGCAACAAGAGAACTATAACTCCCACCTCCTCATATTTTTCAAAGACAGTGGTAGAATCAAAAAGGGCTTTGTCAGTGTGACTAAACAACCTAAGGAGGTTGCCTAGATGTAAAATGTCTGGAAATTTTGAATGCAAAATGACAATAAATGTATAATGCATCATTTCTTTGTTTATAATACTATTAAAATTAAAACCAGTTACACATTAACTAAGTTTATCACCGAACAAGATGAACTTTTAAATCTCGTATGCCAAGCATAATTTTATTACCCAACCAAGTTAAACTTAATACATTTAGGAACTTCACCAAGTTCCATAATCTGAAGGAGAAATCAGAGATTATGGCACTAATTTATGGCACTAGACAATTCCAATTAAACTTAGTTTTAGTTCACTTTGAAAGGCTGTCACTAGTAGTGGTCTTAATCCCATGCTTATACCACAGGAACCAAGATACTGGGTTTTGATAGCCCTAGTTGAAGATGTTATAGCTAAGGGAGTATTACCCAACACTGAAGTCTAACTGAAACTTTATTAAAAACTGTGGAAGTGAGTGAGGTCTGGAGACCCAAGCTTTAAGTAGCACCAGAAGAAACATAGGCAGAATAACCTGTCTGGGCAGGACACTCCAACTAGTTCAGAACAGAGCAACATGGCTGCTGATGAAGATTGGCCCTCAAAGGGGGTGACAGGAGAGTTTTCCCTTTGGTTGTACCACATCCATGGAGTATGTTTCCAGGAGGTTT